GGCTCGTTTGATTTTTGAGGGTCGCTTTCTGTCCCCTTTTGGTGATTACCACATTCTTGTTGGCGCCTCTCAAGCAGAACTGGATTCATTGACAGTGCACGGTAATTCATTAGTTATTCGTAGACAACCCAAGCAACCATTTCTTGATCTCGTTTAGGTGTCTCATTCCAGTCCTTTATTTTCTTGCGCTTTGTAGTCTAGCGACGTTTGGTGACTTTTGGAGTACCATCTCTAACCAAGAGGCCATTTGCTACCCTCAGCCACAAGTGTGATTTAGAGTTGGTACTTATCAGTCACATCCTCGTAGTCATTTTATTGAAACCGTGTGCGACACACTAAAACCAAGCTCATTGCGACCCCGCTTTTAGTACGTCAAGAAGAATGTCCATTCTATCTCATTTAGTAGAAATCTGAACAAGGAGCCATGCTTAAATGTAACTTATTGAAATGTGATTTTTCGTTAATATTGGCCTACCTCAATCCTCATATATCCCTCATATATCCCGCATTTTTTTCACACTATCGTTTTACTAGTTGGATTGTGTTTTTTTGCTTGTGAGGTCAAATGAAATCTGAAGATATTCTAGCACGTGTCTTACTCTTAATCTCTGATCATGTTACTTACTCTTTCTTACATGATTTAGCAATTTTATTTTATAGGAAATCATGTACCACGTAGAATGGAGTATGAGTATATTACTCAGATTATAGTAGGATTGCAGTGACATCTGACAAAGTTCTGGGAAAGCAGATGCTTATCAAATAAAGGTTATGTTTCGAAGAATCTCTTGGCTTATGATTGTTGAGTGAAAGTGTTTTGGGAAGAGGCTTGAAAGTGTATCCCACCGGAGGAAGACTATGGATTCCTCATTGTCAGCTGTCGGTTGGCTTTACTGGTTCCTTATTGTTGACCCTGTACTCGATGCAATCCCCTTCGAATCGCAGCACACTTTCACTCAAAGTGGAACATATAATTATTGCACCGAATGCTGTCTGCGCATCTTCCTCTCCAACGAAAATTCGCTGAGAACCAAATGGAGGCATATATGTTCTGTTCATATAAGCGAATATAAAAGATTATGTTTTTAGGCTTCAAAAGCCAGTTTCGAATCCCCTCGAAAAAGCCATTAACCGAAATGAAAAAAAGAGGGATTCTGGTAAAGTGTAAATATGCTACCAGAGGAGGCATAATTTTGAGGAGTGTAAAACTCCACTCGAATGCGTGTGAACGTATTGAAACGAGCTGTTAGGCGAGTAGGACTCGAAGCGGGGTTCGGAGGCGGCCTCCGGGGAGTTGTGTGGTCAAAGTTGCTTCATAACAAATAATTATATTCCTATCTTAACCAAATGAATTTTCACGGATGTCGAGCAAGAGACCTAAAATGGGTATATTCTCTGTCTGCATCGTTTAAGCGTTTGCTTTCGGTGTACAAGATTGGATTGCTACGAGATGATCTGTTCGCGTAACGGCCTGCCGAGTCATGTGATTCGCTGGAATCGAAGGAGATCGCCTCGGATACGGCGTCAGCCAGGAGAAATCAGCCGTCGTCTTCTGGTTTGGTCGATCTTCAAATATCTTCACCACAAACTCTCACCCGAAATGAAAGTGAGCTCAACAATTTTAAACCAAGGGATGCATTGAAACTTAACTTCTCTTTGACAATAATGTGTTTTTTCGGGACTTTGTCAGACATCGCAACAATCTTACTACAATCTTGTCATTACGTTCTATCTTATGCTCCAAGTGTACCGATACTAAATTTCCTTCTCTTTCCCAAGGTCGTCTTCGGGCATAACCTTTGGCTGGTATTTCTCGACTTCCCTTTAACTAGCCATTCTGCAGATCGTTGCTCAACGTTTCTGAACAAAGTGGCGCCTTATACAACGCTCTGCTAGTCGAGTGAAACGCTTTCTTTCAAGCCGCTATTTGGCTTGACTTCATTCCAGTTTAATATCTCTCCCTAAGGCCAGCGAGTAAATTACGTTCAATTCGTCCATACATTTCGTCTCTTCTCTGTCAATTTTTTCTAATACCCCCGAATTTATGTTCACTAACTAATTAGCTTTATAAAATGGACATTCTTTTTTGCTTCAACAGGACCCAAAAGCCAGTGGGACGAGCTCTACAAAGAAGAGCAAATTTGGCAAGATTGAGTTCAGTTAAGATAAGAGTGTGAAAACAATTTGCTGTTTATAAGTTTAATTGTGATGACGACTCGATGAATGCATCTACCCATTTTTTGGCTAAACATTCGCAATTCACCCAAATTGGGGTTACTTTCAGTTGGTTCAAGCGAATGGACTTACCGACTGAGCCTTGCTCCTCATTCTTTCGTCCAACGGGTGACTCAGCGACTTGGCCCTAACTTGGTTCTCCGCCTCATGTCGGCTCGCCTGGGTTCGTTTCGGACTAGGTCTTTCTCTCTCAACACTCTTCTGACCCTTCTTACTGAAGCCCTCGGGGAGGTCGAGGTACAGAGGGTTAGTTCCCTTAACTACTGTCTCTAACGCGTATCGGTGATCACAGTTTAAGGGGCAACTTGTCCCTGTTTGTTCACTCTGTTGGCTTGTTTATGCGGGAATTGACTTGATATGCTCGTGCTAACTCAACTCATAGTTCATACATGCTGTCCTCTTCGATGCGTTCCGCCTCCATTCCACTTTTGTCCGTCCTCCCGAACGGTTGTCTTCATTCGTTCCGGCTGTCCGACGCCTCCTGCTCCTCTCAAATGCTCTGCACTTGCAGGTTGTCTCGTTCCCCTTCAGATGGCTTGGTACAAGTAAGTCATGTAAGCCATGCCTGATTGATGCATACTTTTTTATAGCTCAAATTGCTTTCGCAATTCGGTCGTGTTATCAGGGCGGCTTAGTCGGACGCACTTTGTCTGGAGTCCTCTGCTGTAGGTAGTTGTCATCATTCTAAACACACCAATTGCACAGTTCGACCCTGGGAATTATGACAACTAAAAGTCATCCTGACAACAGGACCAAGTTGCAAAAGCGGTGTCAGACCGCTTGTTTGCATCCAAAGGAGACTGCAAACGTCGAAGAGCACATCATCTTGGTCTTCATAGATTCGTTTATAGCATTTAAATGACATTTTCTATCATCTATGCTTCATTATCATTTTCCGTGATAGTAGCTGAGGTGGTAACGAATACACACACTTGATCGGCTTGTTCGCACCAGATGTGGGGTTGCAATGTATGTGTTGTCCTTGGTTCGAGGGCACAGCTCAACTGTTCGACTGACCCGGTTTCATTGGAGGCTGAGATGATGACCCAAGCGGTCTGGTTGCCGGGACACCTAATTGTGTGCGACATGTTTGTCGAGACGATAAAGCCTCTGATGTTCCAACAACCACTTTGGTTGATACCGTTTCGTTTGAGAAGGCGGGTCGAAGGGATTCATGGAATGGCCTCACCGGATACCGCACGACTTTTGTCTGTTAAACTATGCGAAGGAAACCTCGGCTCACCGTTCTATGGCACCGATGAGCTTTCGTCCGTCATGTGACAGATATCGTCACATTATTCATTAAAAATTACCAAAAAACTAAACCAGTGAGGCCAATCTACGAATTTCTTTAAACCGCTTCAAACGAATTATCAATCTTGGTTGTCATGCCTGATATGATTGGGTTCCATGAACTCGGGGTTATGCAGTTGTCGTTGCATACAGCCCCAACCGTTCTTGTTCTTTTAACAGAAATTGCTGCCCCTTCACATGTCGCCTCGACCGAGGCGACACGACATGTCCGATCAGCCCTACCCCGCGTCGCTCGGGCCTCGACGTTGCGCATCCTCGGCCCTTTTCCTCGTCGGTCGCCACCGCATCGAGCCCGGGTCTCCTGCCACGTTCCTATCGTCTACTCGAATCCCCGGCATTCTTCACCTGTCCTGTCGTCGGAGCCCAAGAGCCCCGAGGCCGACTGGTTGTCGGACAAGCCCCGACGCCTGACGACCCCTTCGCCGTGGGAGCTGGAGCGGCGGTATCGCATTCTACAGCATAGCTCGAGCGTCATCATACGCCCGCTTTACGCCTCAAGCGTGTTCTCTTCATTCGAGTCTGACCGAGAGCGGACTGAGGCTCATGCTCCGCCTCTTTCAGTCGCATCCTCTCTTTCGTCTCCTTCTGCCAGGCCCGGCAACACCATCACATTCTCTTCTCCGGCGCACCCTTCTGCC